CATGCCCAAGTCTCCAACGAACTCAGCAACAAGTTTTGAGTCTTGAGGATACTTGTATAGAAAAGACACTAGAACAGCCGGCGAAGACGAGGATTGCCAGAGTTCTCGAGAGGATCAATTACATAGGACTAGATGATGACTTATGGTGATTTTCAAGCGGCCGGTTAACTTTGTCGAGAAGTATAACTCGTCCACATGCTTGTGCTTAGATGCTTCTATCATCTGGTATGAATTCGTGATGATTAGGGGACATTCGAAACTGTTGACTGTTAGCCCCAAGATGCTTATTTAGCGGCAGGTTCAGTTATCAGATTCAGAGACCAGATAGACGGCTGAGATCTAAGATGTTGTAAATGAACTGCTAGAAAATTAATGAATACATATTCGTATGAATTGTCAACGTCCAAAGGATGCCTATTTCATGGCCAAGTCATTGTTTAAGTTCTGTTTCCGTTAGGTTTTTTTTTTTCCAGTCTGGTAAATTTAATCTTGACTCAGAGCTTTGCGCGACAGACTTTTGTAATTTGTACTGTGAAATTTAATGAGAAACGGAAGCCTCAATGCTTGGGTAACTTGGTGAGTTTTCAATTTCTTGGTTTGGGCGGTGACAAGGAAAGAAAAAAAAAGGGGGGGGGGGGAGGGTTGCAGAAAACCACCCAAACGTCACAAGCTCTTCGCCTCCAGAATTTACCACTCCAATGGAAAGAGTTCATGGATCAAAGTTCATCATTACGGGGCCTACGAACTATGCTATGTTTGAACAAAACATCAACTGTACAACTGTCATCGTCTCAGCCACCCGATAGCCATGAAGATTATTTTCTCCTCCTCACTCATTGCTGATTGCTCAAGATCAAATCTTCCAAAACTTTTTGCACAGACCAGAGAATTAAAGCGACCTCCCTTGATTGTAAAAACAAAGCAATATCTCTCTAATGTGACTCTAACCAACCATGCCAAACTCAGGCTACCAAATGGAATGAGATTTCATGTGAACCAATAATTACTCCAAGAACTTGGAATTACAGAATTCTTTGCATAACACCAGAATCCTGAATCTGCCACCAGAAAACCAAAAAAACAAGTCACTAGCAGACTTAGTGAGTAGCAGCAGTTAGCAATGCACACATGCTAGGTAGAATTATCCTATGTCTAACTAACTATGACAACATTCAACTATATATTATACAAAGTTTGCGTCAAGACAAATAAAATAAGGCCACAAGTAGCAAGATGCATGAGTTCCAACAAATAACAAGAAAATAGATCCCATACTGCGTTGGTAGGATCACTGTTGGCATGAGAATGCTTCCTCTATACATCAGCTGTAAAATTTAGAGCCATAATATTGGAAGCTTCGGCTTCAGATCATCAAATTAGGCAACCATCTCATCTTAGCTAACTCTAAATACCAGAAAACTGCCACATGAAATGACAATAAAAGGTTAGAATTTGGGTTAGTGCAGTTCATAATTTCATCTCATAATCTTCAGATAGTCAGTCAATCAATTTGACATTTGCAATTGCGTAAAGTTTATGGAATATTCCAGGCAAATATTACATAGGGCAATATTCTTCCAAAAGTATAATTATTCTGGGACTTGCTTTAAAAACATGGTAATGAGGAAATTCAACCTGCAAGGAATTAGATCCATTATAAAAGTATATTTTAAATGAGTTAAGGCTTAACAAAAAGCAGCATGTTTTTTTTGGGACGGGGGAGGAGGAAGATAGAGCAGAAGATTCAGAGAAGATTTACAAATCATTTCCAAGGACCTATAGCTGAACCTATGGGAAGGGAAATGGTGAAGGAAAGAGCAACTCCAGCAGATAAGAGAGTTATCCCAAGGTTCCTGGCCATCAGGGAAAATAAGTGGGGTGTGAGTTGGTTTGAGGTGCAGCTAGAGTGTAGGCAGTGTTGCAGCTTTTTGGTCTTCAAATCCTCCAATTCCGCCAGAAAGAGGGGAATTTAGTCTTTTGGAAGCATAGTGAGGATTAAGAGAGATCTGACCTCTTGAAAGCCAGAAGCATTGCCTTGTACACGCAAGCATATTTTGTTCTGTTCTTGTATTTCTGTCACTGTTATGTGTTTGTAACCTCTGTAACAGTGTGTATGAGGGATATGGGATTGGCTTGGATCATTATTTCCCTTGTAACTGATTCAGTTATTCAGTAATAGTATCATCAATCTCACGTTATTCCCACTCCCTATTGTCTATTTCTGGTTTTAGTCTTAATGTCAGCTTGTTACAGTAGTGGGTCCTTATCATTTGGTATCAGACCAGTTCTGATCAGGGGCAAAAAATGGAAGAATGTGCAAAAAGTTTGAAACGGAACATGAGGGAATTGAAGGCTATGTTCGGCGAGCCTGAAAGAGGTGTCAGGATTATGAAAGAATTGACGTTGCAGAAAAGAGCAACCTTAGCTCAGTTGGCAGGTGAGAAAGAAGACGAGAGGAAGCCTGTTGAAATAGAGCAGGAATCAGAGGCAAGAAAGGAAGAGGTAAATGCAGTAACAGATGAGAAAGGGGAAGGCAAAGACAGCTGAAAGTGAAGTCAAGGAAGCCAATGTCACAGTTGAGGAGGCATCGGAGGACCTGCCGTCAGAGGAGGAAAACAAAGAAAAAAATGAAGGCGTTACCAGATTTAAGATCATGGAGGACTGCAATAAAATTTCATGCACAACACAAAATAACAGAAAATAAAACTAGCTAAATAAGCACAAAGGGTCCAGTGCAGGATGACATGTATAAGCCAATCAATATTGAAAGCCAAAACCAAATTACATAGGGATTGCACAATATGATTTAACGTTCCCACTTTTCAAGGGGGAAAATTCCTGTCACTTGTCTCTCAAAGGGTGAACTGCATTAAACCTGAACCTCATTTTCTTCTACTCACTATGCTATTTCCAAAATTCACATTGCAATTGCAAATCTAAATCAAAGTAAAAATAATAATGTGAAGAAATGATGAGGAAAAAACTTTGGATAAAATACAAAGAAGTCAAAGTTAAGCCTAATTCATTTACAACCTGAACCAATGACTTGTAGATATAAATATCAATTCACAAGACAAGAGCACCAGGAATGAAATAAATCACAACTCATGATCAAACAGCCACTACTAAATTGCATGCACATCACCATGCTTGAGAAAAATTTAGCTTCAAAACCATAGACACTCATACTCCTCGCTGTGGTTTAAAGGCAAAAATGAAGGAAAATAGCATAATATATAGTCTATAAAAAAAAAAAAAACAGAGCATTTCCAGAGCAGCAAATTCAATGGCCGTAATTGTACCTGACAGAATATAATCAGGTTCCTTGTGATCCTGCATCAGATCCGGATGCTGAGGAGCTTTCAGTATCAGAATCTGCAAAAAGACATACCAGTGAGAAAGACACATGAACAGACATACATGAGTGTATACATAACTAAAAAGTTAGAAATATGTTAGTTAGATTACAAATTAAAGTACCAGTTGAGGAGGACCCGGAATCACTGCTTGAGCTGCTAGAACTACTTGACCTACTACCATTGTCCACTGGTTTATCCCCTGGCGCATGCAATGATGTGGGTACATTCCTTTCATCTGCTCACAAAAAACATGTTTCAATTAATTAATTATAAAGTAGTAGAACTAAACAATAGTTTAAACACTGCAAGATTAGCTTAATTATAAACATAGATTACCTGCTAAATTTTCTTTTGGAACCTCGACCATATCAGATGCCTGGGCTCAAAAATAAATAAATAAATAAATAAATAATTGAAATTCAGAAATCATAAACAACCAGTTCTTAAAAAGAGTGACAACTAGAAGCTAGAACTCAAGCTGTACCTTTTGTGGGGCATTTTTTGCAGATTCTGCCCTTTGAATAGAAAGTTCAGCCTTCCTCTTGTTCTTGCTCAGGCTCTTCTTGTAATTGGTCACAAATCTATCAAGTTCCCAAAGAGTCTCAGCATCGACACTATCAATGTCCACTTCAATCTCATCATCATGTTGAGAAAGAGCTGAATTTCTTTTTTTAATGATCTGTACAATGGTATCTAACTTCTCCGGAGGTAAACTCTGGAGGTTTGTACTAAGTTTTTGCTTTTCCTCATAGGTCATGTCTCTTTTACAAGGATCCTTTGCCTTCGGCTTCTTTGGAGCAGGAGGTCTACTTGATGGAGTAACACGCGCTGACTTTGGAGTTTGTATCACTGATTCTGATCTATCCAAAATCCTTCTCATATCAAGAGAGGGGAATGCAATGGCCTTTCTAGACAATGGTGAGGGCGCAGGTAGAGGTGTCCTACAGTCCAATGCATATCTTATCTCACGATTGTAATCTGATTCTATTATAGCCCATCTGTCCTCAAATATCTTAGATAGCAGGTCTGCCATTACATGAACATCTTGTCCAGGTGGGTTATATTTCATAGCATTGTGAAATGTAAGTCTCACATCCTCTGCAAATTCCTTGGGTGATTTGTACCAATTCTTGTTAAGCCTAGTTTTCACAGTACCCAGGTCCATTGGATGTGAGATTATGCTAAAATAATCATGCAATCCAAGCCCCTCAACGTCAACAGGAGCATTAAACACCCAACCATGCTTGTGCTTCATCAATTTCTCAAGCAATGAACTACAGCTTTTGAAAAATTTTGATCCCATTCCAAAACCATGTCCCAGTTCTCCCCCACCCTGCTTCTTTCCGTTCAGTTTTGACTTCTTATTACTCTCTGCAGGAGGGAATTTATCCTTCCCAAGCAAGAACTCCGAATTTCTATATAACTGGTTTGCCTTCGGCGTTCTCTTCTCCTTCTCAACAGTTTCACCGGTTCCATGGCTATTATCTAGCACCGACAAACTTAACTGGTGCAAAGGCCTGATAGGTTCTCGTGGGACAACAGATGCCACCTCAGACTGAACACGCCTTGCCACAATGCCATTATCAATCCTATCACTCACCACCGGATTTGACTTTCCATAATCACCAATCTGTCCCAGTTTCACGTCAATTTTCTGACCAAACTTCTCACCGTATCAAGCTCATTTTCAAGCTTCCTCTTGAGCTCCAATATCTCTTGCTTTGATCTTGAGGACAAGTTTATCCTGATTCGATTATCCAATCCTGCCTTTACAACACCATTTCCTGACGGCAACTCCCCAATACTGGGAGTAGCCTCCTCCTGTCGATTAGAACTCGAAGGCTCGTCCAGCTGATGATGGGGGCTCGAATGCTCATCCTGCTGATAGTTGAGGCTTGAAGGTTCATTCTGCTGACGGTTTAAGGTGGACGAGTCATCTGAAACCACGTCGGGTCTTGAATTTAGCTGTGGCAGAGCCGAATTTCCGTTCCCGGGCAATACAGTCTGGGACGGTTGCTGAGCCGACTCGTTGTTCTCATTCTTCTCGGTCTCTACAACGTTATCATTCTTGACCATGCCGTTGTTGTTGTCATCTTTGTTAGCAGTTGTCGTTGTTGGAGCAGTGTTGGGAGCAACGGCGGGCAAGGCATTACCTTTGCTCTTGGGTCCTTTATATGCTTTCCTCGTGTACACCTTGCTCTCCACATATCTCTGCTTCTCTTAGCTCCATCATCTCCTCCCACTATAGGCCCCGACGCCATACATCCAAAACCCTAATTCTTCTCTGCACACTTGCCCTACCAACACTTATTCCAAATCCCAACCAAGTAACCAAAACTAGGGTTTTATGGACCCCAAAAAGCTGAGAAAAGCCACAAAACCTAAATTTCTAGACCTTCACCCAGCAAGTCGAATTTCTAGGGCTCATGCAGACCCCAATTCGCCGAGAAAATCCGAATACACCAAATTTCACCTCCGCGGACGAAGACAGCCAACCTACGCGGGAAGCGAGGAAGAAATAAGGTAAAACAGAGGAAGCTTTAGGGCTTCAAAATAGACAGTAGGGTTTCGAGCTTGTTACCTTGGTTTCAATCAGATCTTGCACCCTCTCCTTCGCTACACACTCTCTCTCTCCAGAACTCTTCGTCTTCCTCTCTCTCTCTCTCTAAACGGAGATTGTTTTATCAAACACCAGGTGTACGGCAACGGTGGGTTCGTGCGGAACAATGGACCAGACGAAGCGTTTGGGTTGCGCCCCGGAGTCGTGCCCGGGAAGTATCCCAGCGACCCGAATGAAAGGGTTGGGGCTTACTCGATTATATGGCATGTGCACTGCACGCACCAATGGGAAGGACGAAAGTCTGGAACGTGTAAATGACCGACGAATTAAAGGAGGTCAAGCTTTAATGGCGGGGATTTTCGTTTGCGAAAATTTGAAGTGCTCTCGTAGTCGGAGGCATTGCGCGTAGGGAATACCTGCCCGTTCGGTGGGGAACAGGAGTGTGGTGGTGTTAGCACGCGCCGGCGTAGCGCTTGGAGATCATTGGTGCTTTCTTTTCCTCTTTTGGGCCGAGGGTTAGGTCCCAACCCGTGGACAAAGGCCCAAAGTTTTTTTCCTTCGAAAATATGTAACAATGCACCTAAAACTGTCTCCGGATTTTTTTTTTTTATTGCATGTCTGGAGAAATTTCGAAGTGTTATCACTTTTGACCTAAATTAGTTTCAAACCTTGTTACGTGGGATCATTATTATTAATGATGACTATTTTGGAAATGCTTTTAGTATTTACATATTTAGTATTTGAAATTAAGACTTCAGTAAGAGAAAATAATTCAATTCTCCTAACCAATTGAATGAAGTGTCCATTCATAAAACTATCCCGCGATCTTGCTCACTGTGTGTATTAAAACAAAAGGAGCAAGCTAAATGATTAAATTAATATTCAAATCATACAATTTATAATTTTTATCAATTTTTATATTATATTTTTCTACTTTAAGGAGACTTTGTAAAATTTAAAGTTGAGAAGATTTAATTTCTAATAAAAAATGGATCAAAATCTTTACCAAAAAAGTAGAAACGAAAATGTTGTTTTACTAAAGGGGTTTGACTTCTGGGTACATTTCCGGGAAGGTTATATCTTGTCGGTGGATCTGTGATTTACATTTTCTACCTACTGAATGGAAACGAAACAAAAGGGACAAATAAAAGCGTCATCGCAACATCCCAAGAATAGGATTGTCATTGTTCTTTCTTCTGGGTTTGACAAGAACGGGACTATAAATCCTACAAGTCTCTCTGCCAAACTATTGGCACTGCTCCGAAGTACAGTCCTGTAAAGTGGGATCAACCTGTATGGGTGTGTATGAATAAAGAAGTTGCTATGGAAATTCGAATTAACGTTAAACAAATTTCAATTAATTACAATTTGATCACAATCTTAATTATTAATTCTTAAACTAGTGTTAACTGTTTTCAGTACATTGACCATCTGGCTCTCAAGATCCCTCTCAGGAATTGAACAAATCAACAGATAATGGGTTATCCGCAGGCTATGTGGGCAAAAAAGAAATGCCCGAAAAGAGAACGCTAGCACTTTTAGTAAGGCCTCAAAAGTGTTTTTTTTTTATATATATTTTTATAGGATTATTGCAAAGTGTGTTCTCTTCCAACGGTTTAAATAAATAAACAAATAAGAAAAAATGACATACATGTCTCATAGAAAAAAAAATAATTACTATAAAATTTATTAATAACTGAACTAAAGCCATCAATAATATAATTTATTGTTATTTTTCATTAATTCAGTTGTTAATAAATTTTGTGGCAGTTAATTTTTTTTGTAAAATTTTAACATAATTCTCCCAATAAGTAATTCACTTATTAATAATAGTTACATCTATTTAAAAAATTTTCAATACTTTAATTAAGGTGTCAAATTTGACTGAAATTATCTTTCGATGCTTGGTTCCAACCCACCTAATAAATAGTAATGGTGTATTGCTATATGTGTTTGGGGGTCATGATTGGATTAGTCATGCATTTCTCCTACTCTTAAAGCTTCTATTTCTTGTAAACCAAATACCATTAAAAGAAATGAACAGAGGTTAGGTTTACAAAAAGAAACCAATCCTTTACAATTTTATGAATCCCTATTAAAAGAAATGCACATATTTAATATTTAATAGTATCTTGGATAAGATTACTTTCCATAAAAAAATGCCACTGGATAAAAAAAATTAAAAGATAATCACAATTGCATTTGTATAACCTTCTAATTTGTGTGTATATTTATTTACCATTGCTCCTATTGTCGAGGCAATTTGTAGCCAAACGACATTATCATATCCAATGTGCATCATGACCTACCAAAAGCGCTCATAATCTTCGACCATTTTTTCAACAAAATTAATAAAAGAGAGGATTTGTTTATCCATCAAACTTACTATAGAGATATAAATATCAGAATATCTACAGTCTGCCCCCAACATGTAAAGACTTTTTACTCTTTAGAATGTCCTAATGTTGCCTTTTTTGCATGAGTTTTTTATGTGATTTTTTGTATCCAGACATCCAAACAATGATGTTTTTCGCGAAGAAAACAAAAGGTTAGTTGATTTAGGTCTTCAAAATTTACTATAGTCAGGATATGTCTTAAAAAACTCAAAGAACGCTTAGAAGTGTATTTACAAATCACCCATTGATAACCTTATCTCTAGCATATATAGTAAAATTTTTAAATTTTAAGATTTTTGATTAAAATTAAGTTTAGTGAATTTTTTTTTAAAATATATATACAATAAAGTATACATATTTTCTAGCACACGGCATGCAATTTAATATGCTCCTCCAACTCATAAAATAGAATCATACTTCCCCCTGCTTTATATGGTTCAAAATGCAAGTCCAGTATAATACCTAGAGCAAATTTTTTGTTTTTTCATTTCACCCTCAAGCACAATTAAATAGTACAAGTGATTGGTTCTTTTTTGTGAATGCAATCTTAAACTTTGATAAGAGTAGATTTGGAAAGTAAAACCCATTTTGTACAACTTCAACAGTATAATCTCCGTTCAACTACTATTTTTAGATTGTGTGTAATAGTTAAACGACATAACTAGACTTACATTGTGAATCAGGTGTGGGCTATACCGGCGGCAGACGTATACAGTGACACCTGATTAGTTGCTTGAGTTGTGTCCGGAAGGACACTGTCCTTAAGAACTATTCCGGCACACCGTCCGACGTTTGGCAGTTTCCCAGAATTAAACAAGCATCTCCTCGGTGGAACGAGGGAACAAAACTACGGAGACCAAACGTAAGCACAGACGAACACAGACAGATTTACAGATGAAGAAAAAGAGAACCGCAAGAACTCAAGAGGCTTGTGTATCGCTCTGTCTGCACCCATGGCTATATATAGCTCGAAGGTGGACATGAATGTTGGGGGATTACCACCAGATTAAAAGCTCAATTTCAGTCTCATAAAAATTATTTAAAAACTTATTTGGAAATGTTGGGGTTACACAAACGTATGTAAAACGCATTCAACCTCCTGTCTGGAAACGTTGGGAAGACAAACGTTTTAGAAAAATTAATTTGTTTAATGATCAAAAAACGTTCTTGGTTTGACTTCAAACTCCAGATAGGCAAAATTTGAGTTTCTCTGGCAAGCCAAAATAATTATTTATTTGTAAAAATAATCCGGTAAAAGGAACCCACTACCTCTTGAACTCGCCCGCAGGGGGGCGAATCGGCTGATTTCAACTGTGATTGCCCTGAGTTGGCTTGTCTCATGTGCGCGAGACCACTTCTCTTTCAAGCCCATTTTACTAACCCACTTCATTCCTTAGTGTATATATACACTAGGAGAGTCTTTCTTTTAATCAATGTGAGACTTTGACACACATACACACTTTTGACACACATACAACACCAGGGAGGAAGTCGTTTTAGGTATAACTTTTTGAAAAGCATGGCTAGTTATAATTTTTTTCTTATATTAATATATTAATGATAAGGATTCAAGATGTAAGTAGTTAAATATCACTGCTCCTATTTTGCCCAATTTGAAGGGAATACAGTCAAAGGCTTAAATTGGCAAAAAAATAATTACTCATATACAAATAACTGTTAGCTATGATGAAACTATAATTTAATGGGGAATTAAGATCACTTTAAATTTTATTCAATTCCATTCATTTATCCATTTTGCATTCTATATTCTGTTTTCCACTATTATTAAAAAAAGAGAGAGAGTAAAATACAGTAATCTTCCTTTCGTTTTGCAAAATTATAAGGACCTCCCATCTAATTTTAAAACTTATACTTTAGTTCAGTCTTCCACACCATTAGAAATATCTTGTTAAAATTCTAAAACACTTATTTTTTATTTGTAATAATGCTAGAAATTTAAAATTATTAATTTGCTCTTATGACCTAATTGTTTACCCTCTCTTAATTTAAATAAAACTATGAATAATTAAGATAAAAAAATGTAAAAATATGGGTTATAATTAATCAACTTCAAATAAAAATAAAAATAAATTATATTAATTAATTCATATCAATCTCTTATTTTATAAATTTTTTAAATGCGTGAATATTTTTTACCCAATTTTATATTTAATTTTTAAAAAATATTAAATAAATACATTTACATAATCAAAAAATTTTAAATGTAAATAAAAAGTAAAAAATATGTGTATCAATTTTTTGGGTAGTTTGAATGATTTTTAGACCATATTTATGCTTAAAGAGGGGTATTTTGGTATTAATTTATTATATATTTTTCCATTAAAAAATGTAAGCTATTTTTTAAAAGGTTAGATGTTAAAAAAATGTAAAATATTTTTAATCTTTTGAGATGTAATCATTGTCTTTTTTTTAAAATGTCCCTTTTGAATAAATTACTTTTTATTTATTTTAGGGTGTGTATAATAATAAATATGAAAAGATAAGATTAGTTTAAAAATAAATAACTACTTTATTAAAAGTAGAATTTGATTAAAAATATCTTATATTTTTGAATAGAGAGAATATGATTTAATAGTTAACTGGTGGTTTGTTGGATGAAAAAAATTAAAAATAAATAAGATGTTTGTGTTTTGTAAATATTTATACTATGAAAGGTTTATATATATTTCAAAAATAGAAAGGGATATATGTAACTGAGATAAAATAGGGGAGTTTAAAATATTCTACTCTAAAAAATTGAAATAAAAGGGTAATAAAGATTAAAAAACGGGTGTGAGAAGTGTGAATTATACACGCGCAATTTTTATAA